AGAGACTATCTCTGGGTCTCTTGTTAGATATTAGAGGACACTGCATCCCCCATTTATAATAGTGCCTCACGTCTCATTTCTGTAGAGGTTCAATGTCAGTACTAGCAACTTCTAATGTCACCCTGGCTCCCGCCTGTGTGTGTGTGTGTGTGTGTGTGTGTGTGTGTGTGTGGCAAGCCTAACCTGTCATGGCATCCTGGGCTGTAATAGATCTGCTGCATAATTCATGAGACAGTTCTGTGATTATGAGCATTAATGTCATTACTCAGCAAGCAGCCAATCACGCGACTGATAATGTGACGGCAATGGGGACACATCCTCAACTTCCTCTGGTGTCACTGTCTTTCTGGGATTTACATATACACAAACTCAATTCTGCAGAAATAATATTCTGTGAAATATAAACTCTGTTCCAAAACCTAATGGGCTTCAAAGGCAACATCCAAACCGAAATTGACAACCCGATCTCATGAGAAAATCTAGGTATTTAATGAGAGTGCAATTTTGCACAAATTTGTAAAATGAGATTCACATAAAAATGTACAATTTGTGTGAAAAAAGTATGAAGCTCCATCTCTAATCCCAATCCTAAACCTACCACTTAGTGTGATTGACAAAAGCATATCAAATGATGTCAGAGCCTTCTAATTTATATGAATTTACAACGAACAAACCAAAATAGCTAAAACTTTTTATGAAACTGTGTTGGAAACTGAACATCATAAGTAACTGATTTGGAACGCTCTACTAGCATGTTGCTAAGAAAACGGTATTAAAGGGGTGGTTCGGTATTTTGGACATCGGACCTCATTTCCAAAAATTTCAAAAAATTTCAACCAGTCCTTCCAGTTGCATAGTTCGCCGGTGCTAGGCTAGCGCATGTCAACGGTAACTGCTAGCCTGCCATTAAAAACTGTTTTACCCACTCCACAGTTACACCAAAAGCAAATAAATTATAACGCCAGACTATCGATGTAAATGTCTGTTGAGAGAATAATGTTAGAAATCAAACTACCATTTCATCGCATTGCAATAGTTATACTTTGTTCCCTGTATTTATTAGCACAGTCTACAGCAGCGGCGGAGTGATATTAAGCTACCTAGGCAACCGAGAGAGGTAGTGAGAGAGAGAGGTAGAGAGAGGTAGTGCAGGTAGTTCCGACTGTAGTGCGCTTCGGTTCTGTGTTTACTTTTCGGCGCAGTACTACTAACCGGAGCAAAGTAAAATTCCGCCGCTGCTGAGAAACTAGTTCCTGTAAATGCGATCATTGAGAAGCAAGAGTACTTTGATTTCTAACATTATTCTCTCAGCAGACATTTACATAGATAGTCTGGCGTTATAATTTATTTGCTTTTGGTGTACTGTGGAGTGGGTAAAACTGTTTTTGATGGCAGGCTTGCAGTTACCGTTGACTCGCGCTAGCCTAGCACCGGCGAACTATGCAACTGGAAGGACTGGATGACATTTTTTGAAAACTGTCTCCACTGATAAATAACACCTAGGCTAACTTGGAAATGAGGCCCGATGTCCCAAATCCTGAACCACCCCTTTAATCTAATAAGTAGTAACACAATAAATAATTGTTCGATGTTTGGGCATTTTGTGATTACTGGTATGTGTCACACAAAAAAGCTCCTAATCTTTGAACAACTGATTTGCAGTGTTACGTTAGCATGGTGCTATGCTAAGAACATTAAATTATAGATTTAATTAGACCAATTAATCTTTCAAAATTTGTCCATTTGAGATTTTTACCATGTTGCAGACAAAATAGCCCTCCTCACATTTATCAAACAATTAATTTCATTAGCATGATGCTAAACTAAGAACTAGTCACACCTTACAATTAAATCCAATTAAGTGTGACTATACGTCAGACTTCGTACTTCCGCTCAATTTCATTTTGCTTCTGTACTTAGTCTGAGACATCGACATGTCTCTCAGTTTTCCTCCGGCCTGAAAACAGCCGGCCAATCAACGAACAGAGGGCGGGCTGAGAGCCGTGACGTAGACGCTAAGCGCCGAGTTTAAGATTGTATTTTAGGTTAGGGAAATCGAAAACGACCGCGGATATGGAGACACGGGATGCAATTCGCTCTGTTGTGGAGAATATTCCTGGCATTTCCAAACTGAAGCCCGAACAAGAAGAGTGTTTGTTAAACATTTTGAATGGAGGTGATGTTGTGGCCCTACTCCCGACAGGTTTTGGTAAAAGTTGAATTTATCAAATATTACCGATCGTCAGCGAGAAACTGGGCAGGCCAAAGGCCGGCAAGGCGATAGTTGTGATTGTGTCCCCCTTGGTTGCACTCATGGAGGATCAAGTTAAGGAGGCAGCAAAACTCGGTCAGCCATGTTCACTCCGGTATTTCGCTCGATGATTTCGTTTTCGCATCATACATGTGTTTACAGTGGAAGTGCGATGCGGCTGAGCTGGCGAATAACACACGTCATAACCAAACATTATGTGATTGGCTTACGGGTAACCAATGTTTTTATACTTTAGACAAGCGCACCCCGCGAGAAAGAAAACACTTATCAATGATTACATGCCAGACTCTGTCTATGAAGCAAAGCGAAGTAGCAGAGTTTGGTATTACCAGGCTATGTTGCTAAGCAAACATCATGAGAATCGCATAGTAACACAACACATAAGTGATCGATATTTGGCAGTTTCAAGATTATTGGTATGCGCCACACAAAACAGCACTCACGTTTATTAAACAATTGATTCCATTAGCATGGTGTTAAGCTAAGAATGTGACAACATAAAAGTAAATAGATGAAGTGTTCCATTAGCATATTGCTTGCTAACCACATGACAATCGTTGGCAGTCTGATAACTAACCTTAAGAAATGTAAGTAAGTAAATATTCCTATTTCCTAAAATAAGTGTTCATTTGATCTAAACCATTTTGCATACATCTCATTAGCTATCATTTTGTAAATGATAAGCAAAAAAAAACAAAAAACATTGCACACAAATATTGAGTAAAAATCTGGCCACCCTCTTCGGAACAACATTTTCATCCCCTTTTCACATTGAAATTGACAAAATTAGATATCTTAGAATGCAATTATGCTGGCCACCTTTTTGAACAATCTTCTTGTCGCTAGCACACCTATGATGCCCTTAAAATGTTTTCTAAGTAGGCAGCTCACTAGGTTTTGGAAAAGATCTGTTGCATTACACATGAATGAAAATACATTTGTATGCATGGGTTTTTCCAAACTATCCAATCTTTCTTCCTCTCTACCTCAATCTTGCTCTTCTTATTTCAAGCTATCAGTGTCCTTGTTTCCTTTTCCTCTTGCAAGCGCTCAATGAATCTGACATCTGAGGCATTTCATTTAAGGTCCTCACACCTCATTCTCATTTTTTTATCGTAATCTCTTGTCATCCATCCCTCTCTCTCTCATCTGTATTCTCCAAACAACTCTCTTTCTCCTGGGTACGGATCTCACGTGTCGCTCTCTGGTCTAATGGAATCACAGCTCAGTCTCTCAGCTGGACAGTAATCACTCACTCTCTCTCTCTCTCTCACACACACACACACGCACACACACACACGCGCGCACACACAACACAAGGGCTTCACTTGAGCAAAATCCTCACGGAAATCCTTTCAAGTATTGGTGCAGTCCAAAGACAGCATATACTGTGTATTATATCTTCGTCAAAACATCTCTTTAATTACGGACTACAATGATCATGACTTATGATTTCTATAAAAAAGTTGAGAAATCCCATTTTTCCCAGGCTACATTCACACTGTCAGTTTTTGGGATTGACAACCGCATTTACTTGTCTTGAAATGTCCCGTTGAAACAGCAACGTACAGTAGCGTCTCGAATACTGTCTGTATGAACGTCCAATGGGAGTAATCTCAAAGATTGAAACGTCCACAAAACTGAAAAATCTTATCACTTTTAATAAGACAAGAGTCCAATCGAGCCACACGAGTCTCATCCTTCAGATCTTCATCAACTGACAGCAGCTTTTATATCTGGGTGGAAAGCAGAGCATTTGTGTCGCATGTAGATCACAAATCTGACTGGATCTAAAACCTTCAGATGACACAGAACTCTTATCTCTGATTTCTCGCACTGTACGACGTTGTCCAGTCTGGATACGTTCACACAGTGTGGGTTTTACAAGAATGCGTTTGTGTGTCCTGATAATTTACGGTTGTGAGTTCGGTTCTAGAATGCGGTTGTCACTCCCATAAATAACTGAGCTGTGTGTGAACCTCACCTTAACACTGCTAGAAAGCACCCAAAACAAACTAACAACCAATTGACCCTTCGCAGGGAGTTTGATTGACAGGCAATCTGACCAATCATAATCCGCCAAATCCACCAAAAACGGAGTGCACTGACGTCTTTACGCGGTTAAAACAACATTCCTTCTTATGTTCATTCATGTTTATTTGATGCTATAAATTAACTAGAAGGAAGAGATGATAGGTTCACGAGCAGCTTTAACTGAGACTCAACAGCGATCTGTCAGACACAATAAAGAGCCACAAAACGGTTTTATTGTATAAATGTCTTAAAAAAATTACCAAATTTGAAAGTTGAGACTTTGTTTCATATCAAAAGTAACCTGGTCTGTCAGCGCGTTGTCAGTGTCCTCTCTGCTCCGCGATGTATTTTTCACTGCGTGAGAACATGGTGGGGCGTGCGAGTGGCGTAGCTTGTCGGACATAGCAACAGTAACTAAAGGGGGCGGGTCTTTGCGAACGGTCAATTACCAACATGCTAGAAACCACCAAGTGCATCCTATCAAGCCCTTAACAAAGCCTTGCCAACCACCCAAGCATTGTGGCAGCATCGTTTCAATGTTCCAAAGAATTTCATGTACGTAAAATCAAGTGCTCCATTGCAGTGATCAGACAATATCAGCCAGGAATTCATCAATAAAAAGTCCATGAAAAGGCCAAGCCAGTGAGGGCAGCAGTGTCGAAGGTTAAGGAAATCAGGGTGAAGAGTTACTCACAGGGTACTGTTCGAAGATAGAGGTTGTCCCGAATAATTTGTTGCAGCTCGTGGTCCAAAGATCCCTTCTGGAATCGCAGGTTGAGATACTGCCTGAGATCTTTATCCACAACACCTCCTGTAACACACACACACACACACACAGGCAGTTAGATGACCCTCTACCCTGATACAATCTCATCTGATAACAGGGTCCTTGCCGTTTACTTCACATTCACAATAAACTCTGTGAAGAAATGCTTTTGTGTGCAGTTTTTCTGTGGTAATAAAGGACTCCATTACGTGAATGTGTGTGTGGCTGTTCTATTTTCCAAGGAAAAGGCCTGACAATACTGCAGCAAACCATGATTTAGTCACTTGATACAAAAACCTAACCTCAAAGCGATCGCCTGAAGAGCTGTGAGAAAACGTATGTGATAGTTTCCACTTTGTTCTGTGGTCAAAAAGCTTTTTCAGGCTTTTAAGAGGGTCCTTCCTTCCGGTTTCGTTTATTTTCCATAGATATAAACACAAAAAAAAGTCATGGATACACACACATTGATATGTTTCCTAATACATAGAAAAGATTTGAAATCTGAACACATAAGTGTGCAGGGATCCCCACGAGCCGCTCCAGTAATAAATACACATACACACACGTCGTCATCATTATTACATCCTGTGATGAAATGGGGAGGGGGTTCTCTTCAGAAAATGTGCTTTATCAGCAGACAGACTGATAGAGAAGAATGAGAGGGGGGTTGAAGTGAAAAACAGAGATAGACAGATAAGGGAATATGGAAAAAAGCCAGTGAAATATATAGAGCCACCCCAAGCCACATTAACTGCATTTCTCAAAATTTCTCCTCCCCCCTCCCCCCCAAAAAATCTAAATCAAAGAGTATTAAGTAAATTTCACAGTAAAGCTTAAATCCTTAAAGGGCCGGTTCACCTAAAAATAAAAATTTGAGAAAGAGTATATTCGGCCGTGGTGTTTCGCATTAACAAGTAAGAAGACTAGTGCAAACTTACAGCATTTCTCCAAATTCCTCAATACTTCCAACAAACAATTTTATTTCAAAGAGCAATAAGTTAATTTCACAGTAAAGCTTAGATCCTTAAAGGGCAAGTTCACCCAAAAATCAACATTGAAGTGTTTGAAAATTAGAAAAGAAATTCTCAAATCCTTCCAACCAACATAAAAAAAAACTGTAAAAAAGCAGTAATTATCACAGTGAACCTTACATCTTTAAAGGGCCAGTTTACTAAAATTTTAAATCTTATCGTGTGAATATCAAAACTTGCCGTGTCAAATTCAGGACTAGTGAGAACATACAGAATTTCTACAAATTTCTAAATCATTTTGAAAAGTACATTTCACATACTTAAAGGGCCATTTCGCCCAAAATTAAAAATTGTTGTGTGCAATGCATTCGTACTCTCAGTGTGATGCATTGCTATCCGTCAAGTTTGAATATGCGCATCTACGAATAAGATTTGAGATCTACGGTGGAGCGTACAATTCAGATAATATAGACTTAAATTTCGACCTGTTCCTCACACACAGTGATCATATATCTTCAGAAGACTTGGAATACAATGCACAAGTCATATGGACTTCTTTTAATGATGCTTTTATGGCATTCATTGACAATCCCAGTCCCCATCCACTTGAAAGGTGACCACGGCTATCAAACTAAATGTTAGTGTTTTTCTAATTTACAGCTATCATATGGCTTTGCCTTTTATAAGACATACAAGTCCAACAGATGACTTGCATATTGCTTTTATAGCTCAAAATCTATTCAGTCCCCATCCACAAAATCAGTCCCCATCCACTTTCGTTGTATGGAAAAGGGCAGCATGAACATTTTTCAAAATTTCTTCTTTTGTGTTCCATACAAAAAAGAAACTCAAAGGGGTTTGAAAAAACGTGAAATGTTCCTTTTTGAGTCAACTTTTCTTTAAACCATAATTGAAATGCACATAAGCTGGTTGAAACGCAAGACATCACAGGCACAGTCACAAGTCGTCAAAAAAGGTAAGGACACAGTATAGAAAAAGACTTCATACTATGTAACTGAGCTCATGTGGGTGTCAGAAACCAGTTTTCCAAGCTTCAAATGTGCACCCACCAAACACACACATCACCTATCGATTCGTGTATGCACACTGGTGGATATAAGAACTCCACGTAGAACAAACTCGATGCGTCTAGAATAACCTACTTCAGACATACTGGTTAACTAGACATGGCAATCATGCTATTTACACACACACACACACACACACACACACACACACACACACACACACAGTGAAAACCTCAAATCATGTGTTAAAATCCAACACAGATCATCAGCACATAGTTCTGTCTGGATGACACAGAGCAGGAAATTCACAGCAAATGACACACAAATTAATGAGTCTCACACACTCAGTTCCATGAAGAGAAATACATAAAGACTGCAGACCCTGTAGCCCCCCACACACACATGCACACACACACACACACACACACACACACACACACACACACACACACACACACACGTTTCGTCGACTCACAGAGCGCAATGGAACGGCACTTCTATTGCACGGTTCAGCCAGATGTTGCAGGCGATGATTTGAGCGTGTCTGTGATTGCAAGCGTGTGTGTGTGAGAGTGTGCAGTCCAGGTCTCCACAGGTCTGTGGCCACTGTGTGCAGGTTTCCTAGCAGCGTTAGATGCTACAGGCAGTCTCCCTGCATGTTGCCGTAACAGAGAGTGTCGCTCTGCAGTGACCGAGAGAGAGAGAGACAGACAGAAAGAGAAAGAGAGGTTGAGCACTGAGACGGTGCAGAAGAAACGTGCCCTAACAGTGGGAACCTATCACAAAGCTCTCTCTCCCTGTGTACGAGATGGAGGATGGGAAGAGATTCATCGCCCTCTATGGGGGAACTGGCGATGAGCAGCATAGATGAACTAGATAGAAAATACAAAAGTACAATGCAAAACCAAATACAAGATTCAGCAGACAAAGCAAGTGTGGGGTTAGTTCATTTTTTTGAAAGGAGTCTCTTATGCTCATCAAGGCTGTCTTTAATAAAAAAAAAAAAGAAGCAAAAATAACAATAATATTGTGAAATATTATTATAAATTAAAATAACTGTTTTTATATTTTAAATCGTAATTTATTCCTGTGATGACAAAGCTGATTTTTCAGCATCAGAACTCTAGTCTTCTGTGTCACATGATCCTTCAGAAATCATGCTGATTTGCTGCTCAAGGAACATTCATTATTATTATCAATAAACAGTTGAGCTGCTTATTATTTTTATGCAAACCATGATACATTTTTTTCAGAATTTTTTGAATAGAAAGTTAAGAAGAAAACGATTTATTTTTGAACAAAAATATTTTGTAACAGTATAAATGTCTTTGTCAGTTTTTATCAATTTAATATATCAATTTTACAGAATAAAAGTACTAATTTCGATCCTACTGACTCCAACATTTTGAATGGTAGTGTTCCTTCACAACAGAGCAAAGTAACCAAGATCTTGTATCAAGATTTTGAAAAATCAAGCTGGTTGTAGAGGATATATTTAGACAAACTGGCTGCATTAGAAATCGCATACTTCCCTACTATATAGTAGGCGAAAAACATTATGTGACAAAAGAAGTATGTCCGAATTCACAGTACTCATAAAAGCGTAGGCAGAAAGTACCCAGATGATCTACTTCTTCCGGCGAGATTCTGAAGTGCGCATATGATGGACACTTTACTATCCCATGAGCCCACGGGAGAGGATTTGTGAATGGCAGTGAAGCGACTCAGGTCACATGATAATGTTGTAGTACGTCCAGATTACATTCATACTACACACTCATACTATACAGAAAGTACTTTTTTAGCAACCGTGGAGAAATTTCTTATCCAAAATAAGTACTACCTACTCAACTTTTAAAGAAACGCACACAGCGTTTTTCTCTTTCTTATTGACGAAGGGCATATTTAGTTTGATAGTTACATGAGCAAGATAAAACACAAGATCCATCACAACTCTGAGCTTTAGTTTGTCTTCCAAATTAGCAATGTTCGAGTTGCATTTGTTCTCTTGTACTGGATCTTTTTAATGATTCGATTCGCTTGATTCAGTATGTAACATGGAACTACAATAATACATGTTATAATTTATTTCATAACAAAAAAGAGAAAGAAAAATGCTGTGTATGAAACTTTGGGAAAACTTTCGAGTGATATTTTAAACATATCTTTAAAGTTAATGGAAATGAGCCATCCAAACAAACTACTCAATGATATGCACAAAATATATATATATATATTTTTTTCAGAATTATTATAATTCTGACCCAATGACTGGAGCAGAGGTCAAGAGAGGACCAGATTTTTCTTCTGTGGTAGACAAGAACTTCACAGTCAGCAGCTCAACTTACTTTTCCAAGTTTCAAAGGATTTCATAACAAACCCACACAAAATGAGTAAGTGAAGTGTTCAGGGTGCCATTGCCCTTGAGTGAGCACAGAGCACATGATGAAGAACAGGTGCCATCAGAACCCCCAGAGAGAGGGAACAGACTGTATTGAATTCTCATAACGTCCCACAGCTGCTGCTTTCACCTCAGTGCCAGAAAGTACATCTTCAACGTTTTTGAGAAAAGAGAAATTGTACATAGAAAAAGAATTGACTGCGAATATCCTTTTATCGCATCACACTTTTCACATGGTTAGGCTATTGTGTTAACATTGAACAGGCTGTTTTTGCTACTGTGCCTTTAAGACTTATAAGTTTAAATTAAATTGTTTATTATGATTGGTTAAACTGAAAAAAAGTAGCAACTTCAACAACAAATTGTTAAATAATAAACAGCATTGACTTGTAAATAAAGACGTATATGTAACCATGTCAATTTCAGACCTCACAAGTAAATGAGCAAGAAAAAAAGTAATTTTTTTCATGACACCAGTCCATTAATTAACTAATATCTTATATACTAGCTTCAGTCTCAGACGTCACACCCACAGACTGTCGGCTGAACGCCTGATCTGATTGGTTGAATTCTACAGAATGTCCGTGAGTCTCATTCTTTAACCCTTTGATGCACAACATGGGTCTAAATAGACCCGACTGAGTT